ATCCCTGCCACGCCAGCTCTGCTCACACCTGTCTGCTGGTGGCAAGAAATCACCATTCCAGCCTGCAGAATAGGAGCTGGAGGTGGGGGGAGAGGGATGGTGATGGGGTGAAGAGAAGGCAGAGGAGCAAGGAGGCTGCAGGACACACGAGCTGGAAGGAATCGCAGAGGGATAATAGGGTAGGGGAAGGAGAGAGAAAGAAGTAGCAGCAGGAAAGCGAGGGTCAAGACTGAAGAAAGAAGGAGGAGCTGGTACTAAAGCAAAGGGGCAAGGGGGAGTTAGTGAGACAGTCGAACAAGCAGGTGCTAATAGGATAGGAGTGAGGTGGTGAGGCCAGGCCTTAGCTGGTAACAGGGGCTTTCATCTCTAGGTCAGTGGTTCAGATCCAGCCCGGGTTAATGGCCAGAAGTGCCTGCTCTGTATGAAATTAATTTGCCATCCTTGGCCCATTTCTGAGTGTGCATGTCAGAAAAGCACCACTGTGACAGGACCTGGCCAGCAGGCTCAGCAGAGGCTAAAACGGGAGCAGACCAGAGAGACTCCCGTTAGGGTGGGAGGATGTGGGGGGAGAGGATTTCCCGTCTCCGGAGCCATCAAGCCAGTACCTTGCCCAATAGACACTGGGATGAGAGCCAAGGGAGATGCCAGGGGAAGGATGGGCAAGAAGTAACCTCTTGTTCTTCAGTGTTTAATAGACTCTATGCCTTGTGCACATTAAGACTAGGGAAACTGTGAATAAGGCTATAAATAAACGTGCCAAGAGATGCTCTGGAAACGATCATTATAAACCACCAGAGCAAAGCGCGAGTAGTTTGTGATGTCATCAGCCTCATGGCATGTATTTATATCCCTGTAATTCATAATCATTTGTTCTCATTCCCTATCATCTCTCGCCACAAAATACAACACAGGGGCGAGACGCAATCATAAATAGAACAGGCTCTGAGCTGACATGACATGATATAAAGCAGCAGGGTTCTGGGTGCTGCTGCCCAAGGCCCGGGATTTAGCTGTGCGCTACATAATGCAGACCTCTCAGCAGAGTCGCCACCTCAAAGGAGTCTAGCTTCCCTAGGAGTTAGGTGTAACCAAGCTCAGGGCCCCACTGTGCTAGGAGCGGTACCTATTCAAGAGACAGTCCCTGCCCGGAAGAACATACCATGCGAGGGCTTATACATCGCCTCCTCCATGCAGGATGGATCACAGTTACCTGTGCTTAAAAGGAAGTTTATCTTCCATGTATGGCCGTGTAATCCTGGATAACCTTCTTCATTTAAATATAAACCACCAAACTATTCAGTCATGCCGCGCTCCTTATACAGTGCCTTTAACGGACTCCAGTCCTGTCCTGGCAGAGACCATCCATCCTCTCCTTGAACTAGCGTCTTCCTTCCCTGCTTTATGGTGGGAGGGAAAGACACCAAGGACATAATCACTTCCATAGCAACCAGCTGTGAAGGCGCAAACAGGAGCTTATGATTTCAGGTGGGGAATAAACAGCAGAGACACAGATGAATCCTTGAAGAACACGTTTTCACGCCAGTGTCCTTTGTAATAAAGAGCCAGCGGAGAGAAATACAGAATATTTAGGATGGAGAGGGCTGAATAATTTCCTCATTGGATGTTTTTCAGCTTGCCATGAGATGTCAGCCATCCTTTAAATCTGCCAGGCTTTATATCGCCAGCAGCAGAGTGGGGAGTGAAAACGAAATATCTTTCCCCGGGTGATTTCAGGGCATAGTGAATAGCTTTTAATTCTTCCTGCTGCCAGCAGTTGAGAGGGGAGAGTCAGAATTGAACCTCCACATGGCTGGAGATCTTCCCTCCAGCCACCCACTGCTTTGCAGCACCACAGAATGAAGCTTTCTTAAATGAACATTTTGAATAACCTGCCTGGTTAGCTAGGTGCTTGCCTTCATTGCTGTAGTGTCTGAGGGGCCCACAAACTTAAAGGAAGTTATCCTCACCAACTCCCTGTGGGCAGAGCTATAAGGGCAGACTGAGGCTCAGAGAGAGAGAGTGTTGCCATCCCTTGAAATGTTACCGAGTCTCAGCATATTTGGTGTTTTACTTACAGCCCCAACTCCTGGAGCCAAGGGATTCTGGTGGGGAATCTCAAACAGAAAACCTAGTCTTCGTGGGTGTGAAGAAAAGCTTGAAATGTGGGCACCCGAAAGGCTCAGAAACACCCCCCACACACACACACACATACACACTCTCTCTCTCTCTCTCTCTCTCTCTCTACTAACTAATAT